CAAACATCACAACGTAACTGGGTGACTATAAAGGTGCACTACAGGTATCTTCGAAAGTATCTATTGTTTTATATGGATCGAGACTGGGATTTGTCACTCCGTATGACGGAGAGATATCACTGGGCCCACTCAGTAATGCATCATCATAATGAGCTCAAAGTGACCAAGTGTTTGGTCACGGGATCATGCATTACGGTACGAGTAAAGTGACTTGCCGGTAACAAGATTGAACGAGGTATTGGGATACCGGCGATCGAATCTCGGGCAAGTAACATATCGATTGACAAAGGGAATTGCATACGGGGTTGATTAAATCCTCGACATCGTGGTTCATCCGATGAGATCATTGTGGAGCATGTGGGAGCCAACATGGGTATCCAGATCCCGCTGTTGGTTATTGACCGGAGAGCGATCTCGGTCATGTCTACATGTCTCCCGAACCCGTAGGGTCTACACACTTAAGGTTCAGTTACACTAGGGTTGTAGGGATATGTATATGCAGTAACCCGAATGTTGTTCGGAGTCCCGGATGAGATCCCGGACGTCACGAGGAGTTCCGGAATGGTCCGGAGGTAAAGATTTATATATGGGAAGTCCTGTTTCGGGCATCGGGACAAGTTTCGGGGTTATCGGTATTGTACCGGGACCACCAGAGGGGTCCCGGGGGCCCACCGGGTGGGGCCACCCATCCCCGGGGGCCACACGGGCTGTAGGGGGTGCGCCTTGGCCTGCTTGGGCCAAGGGCACCAGCCCCACATAGGCCCATGCGCCTAGGGTTTAAGGGGGAAAGAGTCCTAGGAGGGTAAGGCACCTCCTAGGTGCCTTGGGGGGGAGGGAAACCCCCCCTTGGCCGCCGCACCCCTAGGAGATTGGATCTCCTAGGGCCGGCCACCCCCCCTTGGCACCCCTATATATAGTGGGGGAGAGGAGGGACTTCATACCTTGAGTCCTTGGCCTTTGGTTGCCTCCTTCTCCCTCCCCAACACCTCCTCCACCTCCTTATTGCTTAGCGAAGCTCTGCCGGAGTACTGCAGCTCCATCAACACCACGCCATCGTGCTGCTGCTGGTGCCATCTCCCTCAACCTCTCCTCCCTCCCTTGCTGGATCAAGAAGGAGGAGACGTGGCTGTTTCCGTACGTGTGTTGAACGCGGAGGTGCCGTCCGTTCGGTGCTAGGATCTTCGGTGATTTGGATCACGTCGTGTTCGACTACATCATCCCCGTTCTTTGAACGCTTCCGCTCGCGATCTACAAGGTATGTAGATGCATCTATTCACTCGTTGCTAGATGAACTCCTAGATGATCTTGGTGAAACGAGTAGGAAAATTTTTATTTTCTGCAACGTTCCCCAACATCTTCTTCCTTGACCTCCCCCCTAGATGGGAGGAGGGTTTCCCCTCTATTTCATGGCCTCCATGGCGGCGGAGGTGCGAGAGCCCTTCGAGATTGGATCTCTCTCTCTCTCTCTCTCTCTCTCTCTCTCTCTCTCTCTCTCTCTTTCTGTTTCTCTTCTGTTTCGCGACCCTGCTTTCTGGCCTTTCACCGTTTCTTAAATTTCCGGAGATCTGTAACTCCGATTGGGCTGAAATTTTAACACGATTTTTATCCGGATATAAGCTTCCTTGCGGCCGAAGGACACCTCCAACCGACCTACGGGTGGCCACAAGCTTGCCAGCGACGCCCTGGTAGGGGGCACCCCTTGAGCTTGTGGGCCCCTCGAGCCATCTCATGTTCGTTCCATTTCCCCAAAATCACATATATTCCAAAAAAATCTCCGTCGATTTTTATCGCCTTTGGACTTAGTTTGGTATGGATATTCGGCGAAACAAAAAATATGAAACAAACAGGAACTGGCCACTAGATCAATATGTTAGTCCCAAAAGATAATATAAAATGTTGCCAAAAGTATATGAATGTTGTAGAATATTGGCATGAAACAATCCAAAATTATAGATACAACAGAGATGTATCAAAGAGCTACTGATGGTGTCCCGCATTGGGGTTGGCTCACTTAAGGGAGCATGGCCTCGATACCCACCGGGGCCCACCTGGCCCAGAACAGAAGGGAAGCCCTAAAGGAGCGTCAGAGACCCTCGTGTCCTCCAAGACTAAGGGTGACGACACCCAGATCACATCTACTGCCATGTAAACCCCAGACCTCCCTACCTATATAAAGGATGATCGGGAACAAACTCTCGGTAGCAATCTCATACACCATTGTAACCCATCGCATGAGGTATCCCTCCGCCTTGAATAACGAAAGCAAGTAGGATGTAGGGTATTACTCTACGGAGGACCGAACCTAGATAAACCCTCTGTGCGATCTCTGACCTAAGACTTCCAGCTGCACTTGGACCCCTATCGAGGGACCTAACAGTATTTTGCACCGTCACCGGGAACTTCTTGCATTCATGGAATTTTGCATGAACTCTAAACCAAAAGGTTGATCCTTTTTGCTCTGCCCCAATCTTGGGATATTGTCCAATGTCCTTCCAACTATCACAAATGAGCCCGCTTCATCCTTTGTGTATGCCTTCGTTTGAATGTTTTGCCGTCTCTTCTTTTGCTCATTGCTTGATGAGTGAGCTTATCAGCAAACAAATGCCCCCCCTCGATGTACACTTAATCTTCTTCCTCTTGCTCGTACTCGTGTGGCTATTCTTGGCCTTGTGTGAAGGTGTGGGCCATGCCCTCTTGGCCTTGCGTGGAGCGGCCGCGCCCATCTTGGCTTTGGTTCTCATTGTGATCGAAGCCCTGTCACCTTTGCCACCCTCTAAAATGATGTTCTTCATGATGAACTCATTGGCCTGGTCATCTTGTGTTGATGCCGGCATTTAGTCGAACAGTCGGCGGGCGTCAGGACGGTTGCCGGTAGGGATCTTACGCGCCCGCTTCCTTTGCCCCTCGGTGGACAACCCGCCGGCCACAGGCGTGGCGTTGAGGTTGATGGACGTGGGTGTAGGGGTGACCACCCTCACACTCCCTTCCACGCGAGGTGGAGAAGCGGGTTGTGTTGGGGATAAGTTGGGCGTCCGCAGTGTGGGGGAGGTGCGAAGTGCCTCCGCCCGTGGCGGACGGGAAACCGACGTCCCCGTGGGCATGGCGGCAGCGACTAGAATGGCCGTCTCGGCGCTGCCATGGCTGAACCCTAGAATCATTAGGGCTTGTTGTGTGGCTTGGCGGCGAGGGGCTCATTCTCCTCGATGGTGCCTCCTGTCATGCGGTGCGCGGCTTGTACCTTCCTCTGGCTAGCCCTCTCCGCCGATTGTATTGTCTGTTGCTCCCGTGTCTGCTCCTTCTTGGGCTGCTTCTTATGGGTGAAGCGGGGCTTGCCGGCCACGCCGTCGACCATGGACAACGGGGGCGGCGGGGTTTGGCGCGTCGGCCATGGTGAGAAGGCGGGAGGGTTTTGAGAGAGAATGGAGAAAATGGGGTGGATGTGCTACTGTGTGGCGGGGGCAAGGGGGGGACAAGGGCGGCGTCACGCACGCCCACGCAGACAGAAACCCGATCATATTTGAACCGAAAATGGGTTGCAGATGGATAAAAAATAGACGCACGTCCATCTGCATCGACACGTTGAGCCGAGGTTTATGTCTGTTTCAATCCAAATAAACGCGCGCTGTGACAGAATGGGTCGTGTGATTGGAGTTGCTCTGCCTATGCGTCTCACAATTCATACAAATTATGGAGTCTGCAAATATAACCACTCTACCAGAGTTTGCCCCTAAAAATTCCTCCCCACGCCCAAATGTTGCTGCCTGCTCTGGTTCGCTCCTCGGGTGCGAAAGTCGTGCGTGCCGATCACGGCGACGATGCACAACCGCCTGCCTCCTCACGTCCCCCGTCCGCTGCCTATGCGGTACGTCGTATAGCTGGCCAAACGGGTCGGGATAGTTGGGCCGGCCCGGTAGCACGGCCGGCACGGCACGGGCCTGGCACGGCACGACACGTGCTAAACGGGCCAGGCCCGGCACGCGGCACGCCATGGGCCGTGCCTGGGCCTGAAGGGCGAGCACGCGGGCCGGCACGGCACGGCCCGATTAACTTTTTTATATTTTTTATGTATTCTAATATGGGCCAACAGGTAAAAATAGGCTAAAACGCTCAATGCGCAAAATAGGAGGTAGATTAGTGGGCCTGGCGTGCCGGTGGGCCGGCCCGATTAGCATACGGGCCGTGCCTGGGCTGCAGGCTGCAGCACGCGGGCTGGCACGGCACGGCCCGTATAATAATCGTGCCTAGGCGGGTCGGGCCGTGCCAGGCACAATTAGGATGGGCCGTGCCGTGCCGGGCCGGGCCGGCCCGTTTGGCCAGCTATGGTACGTCGTACCACCACCGTACCGTCGATGTGGCGATCCCATCAAACTCATATCATCCGTCCGTTCAAAACCAGATCGGCGCTCTCTGGCTAATTCGCACACTCATCTGGGAGACCCACCGGCCAGGGAGATGCACTCCCCGTAGACGTGGCACAGCATAACGCAAATGTAAGTGACTGCCATGTGGGACCCAAATGACCAAGCTGTCCTAAATTTCTTTCTTTCTCAATTTAGTTTGCGGTGACGTCTGTTAGCGACGAGATCTCCCAGTGGCTTGAAGGGCAAGAGAGGAGGCCGCACGGATCTCCCCGGCCTTCGTACACAAGAAGCCCACGAATTCTCCGCAAATCACCACACTGCCACGACCCGACGCGGGGGCAGTTTCGGCACCCAAATGCGGTGGCAGAACGGTGGATAGGCAGCCCTACCCGAGGGCAAAAGGGGAACGCCGAGAAAGATAAAGCCTCTATTTGGACCCCCGGCTCTGCTCCCATCGCCATTGCTGCTCTCTCTTCTTCCTCCTCCCACCCTCCCTCCCCGGCTCCTCTTCTTCCCACAAATTTTCCTCGAAATTTCGTGGCCGCCTCCTGTTCGTTCCGTGTAGACGAACGGGGGAGTGATTGCTCGGCGGCAGGAGGAAGGAGCCTGCCTCGAGCGGTTGGCCGGAGGCCAATTTTGATGCGTGGCCTCCTCGAGGTCCACGCGATTGGCAGGGACGCCGCGTCGACGAGCTCATCGAGACTGAAGGCCGTTCCCGCATTGGACATGATGAGGTAGCCGGCAGATCTCCGTGTTCTCTCCCCTCTCCATCTTCGTGCTCTTCTTCTTTCCTTACATCCGTGTCTGTTTCTGTTTGTGTTCAGATCGACGCGTGCGCTGTTTCCATCTTGCGTGCGTTTGATTTTTGGTTCCGGCTTCTGTTTTCCTTTGGTTGGTGATGGATTTCATCTCTTCGCCTGTCCTCGGCCGCAACCGGCCGGCCTTGTAAATTTCTCACCTTTCATGCGTTTACTTTGTTGTAATCTGGCCGCCGCCGCCGTCTGAGTTTCTGGATTTTCCCTTCTTCTTCTTGCGGTTTGGTTGATCTGTGCTTTGGTGTTTCGATTCTGAGTATGCCAATTTACGCGGTTGCGTTTGGCTCCTGATGAATGATTCGGCGTTCTTAATCTCTGTATGTATTTCGCAGTCTTCTGCTCGTGCTCTGAATACTTCCTGGTCGTCTTCTCCGTTCGTTTCCGATGCTCTTGTCCGGCTGTTTGGTCCGAATGACAAGCATCCTGCCGTTTCTTCTTGGCTGCATCTAAGGCTCTCTTCGTGTGAAGATTGGAGTTCATGGTTCATGGCCGAAGTGTTTTCGTGTTCTTCGTGCTTACCATCCCGATTCTGCCGGCCGTTGAATTTTGCGGTCGTTTTGTGATCGGTCCGCCGTGTTCTTCTTTTCATTTCATCGGCAACTCCATGGCCGCCGATTTGTTACTTACATTTTGCAGCAGATCCCTTCGTCCGGCCAAATCGCTAACCCGCGTCGCTGCAGGTACCAAAGGCTCAGCCCGGACTGCCTCCCGCTCGCCAACGGTGGCGGCAGCGGCGGCGTCGCACGCAAGCCGGCCTCGAGATCCTTCAGAGACGACGAAGGCCCGGCGGCCGCAACCGACGGTTCCCGACTGGCCTCGTACCTCGCCGCCTCCCAGGCGGACTCCAAGGCGCCGGTGCGGGCACGTGCGCCGCAGCCGCCGTCGTCGTCGGCCGCGCGGAGCCCAGCGCGGGACCACGGCCAGCACCACCCCTCAGACTCCTCCGACACGGCCTCCCCGAGCTCCACCGGCGCGGGCACAGGCGCGGTCGGCGGCGACGTGCTGCTGCAGTGGGGGCACAACAAGCGGTCCCGCTGCCGGCGCGACTCCTCCGCGGCGTCCTCGTCGGCGTCGCCGTCCTCGCAGCGTCGGCAGGCCCTGGGCAACGGCAAGATCCAGCGGCGCGCGTCGGCGCCGGCGCCGGCGGAGAAGCTGATGCCCCCTCCTCCGGCCACGATCACGCGGGGGTCCAACCTGAGGTCCTCGTCGTCCTTCCCGCCGCGCGCCGCCGGAGCAGACGCCAACCACCAGCCTCCCCACCACAGCAGGTACGGCCTCGTGTCCCCGTCCCGTCTCGTCTCGTAGATCCTGGCCTCGCGTCCCCGCTCCTCTCCCCTATTTCCGTTGCCGCTTGTGCCCCCGAGGAAAGGGAAGCTACCGGGCCGCTCGGCCATCTTGTTCTTGTTGCTGGAGTCGTGGGATCGTGGGCGTTATTTATTCGCGTGGTGTTTTCGGCGTTCGGGTTTGGGCCTCTTTTGTGTTTCTGGTGAGCTGTGCCGCCCGCCCGTCTTTTAGCACCGCAACAAGTGCTGGAGTTGGACGAAAGATTCCTTTCTTTTCCTCCAATTTGAAGCAAGTAGGTTTTCTGATTTTTCTACGTAGTAATATTTAATATTTTACATACGTGCTGCCTTGATGGCTCGATGATCTGGATCGCTCCATCTCTTCCTAATTTCGTGCCATTTATTTACGTTTCCAAAAGCGATTTTATTAATTATTGCGGAAAGTTTCGTGTCTGGATCTGGACGGGGCGGTAACTTTACCGTCCCTGTCGTCCCTTGACCAATCCGTGGACACAAGAGGTGACATCGGGGGCAGCAGCGCCCGTATTTGTCACACATTGCGTGATGCATGGGGGACCCAACTAGATTGCCATATCTGCTCAAATTCCTTCCACTCCAGGGCCAATTTCAGCTTCCGTGGATTGTTCGGCCGATCTAGCCGCCACCAGTAGTAGATTTCAGCTTCCGTGCTAGCACGACCATGATATGAATCGCAGCATCAAAGGGAAAGTAGTAGTACCGGTGTGCACATCTCAACTCCTCGATCTGCTTTTCTTTTCTGTATGTATGGATGGGCAGCAACAGTAGTTGTAGCACCTCTGCAAGGAGAAAAAAAAAGTGAGTTCTAGTAGTAGCAGCTTTGCTAGGTTTTTGCATATATATTGTATGCATCTGGTTGTGGCAGGGGTCTCCCTCCGGTACTAGTACCACCGATCCACCACCCTACCCACCCTTCTTCCCCTTTACCCCTCAGCAGCCCCTCCCAACCACCGCCGCGTCCATCATCACCAGCAGCACCACGCCACCCCGATCGATCCCATGATTGACGCCATGTTTTCTTGCGCGATCAGGTCCGTTGAGGAGCGATCGGGCGGCGTGCACAAGCGGTCGTCGCCCGACAAGGCGCCGCACCACAAGCCCCCCGCCGCGGAGCATCACATGGATTCCAAGAACGCCCACCACCACCACAACAACAACCACGACTCGCAGCTGGCGTCCGCCGCCAACGGCAACGGCACGGGCGCCGGCGAGAAGCTGGGCGGGGAGCGGCTGGAGCTTCCCCGGATCTACATCTCGCTGTCCCGCAAGGAGAAGGAGGACGACTTCCTGGTGATGAAGGGCACCAAGCTGCCCCAGAGGCCCAAGAAGCGGGCCAAGAACGTGGACAAGTCGCTCCAAGTATGCATCTACTATCTCATCACGCTCCTGTAAAAACTGAATCCGATCGGATCCATCTGACCCGTGTCTTGCTGCAGTTCGTGTTTCCAGGGATGTGGCTCTCGGATTTGACCAAGGGCCGGTATGAGGTGCGAGAGAAGAAATGTGTCAAGAAGGTATAACAAACAATCAATCAATCAATTCCTAGTTTTCCTTTTCCTTCTCTTTTTCTGCTGCTGCAAAGAAAAAAAATATTGTTTTTGAGATGGAGAAAAGAAAAGCATAAAGAAAAATTACTACTACCTCCGTCCCGGTGTATAAGTCATTCGCGTAGTTCTAGGTCGATAATTTAACTATCTAAATATGTATTATATGTGACAAAAAATATATATTTACAAACTACATCCGTGTGGAAATCTAGTGGTATACTTTTCATGACATATAACACATATTTAATTCCTCAAATCGATGACCTAGAACTACGCAAATGACTTATACACCCGGACGGAGGGAGTACTACTAGTGCTGATTCTGATTCAGGTAGTAGGTTGATTGGTTGAGGGCATGTGATTGATGGGCTGCAATGCAAATTAATTAAAGCCTTAAAGCGGGGTTAATTAGTTGCCCTTTTCTTTTCTTTTCTTTTGGGAGGATGGTCACGTGGGGCCCATGATGACACGTGATGCTTCTTCGTGCCCTCATTCATGACGGTGCCGAGTTATTTCGCCCCGCTTTATTGCTGTGGACGTGAGGATGCAACCGTGCTAGCCGATCTCTCTTGCCCTAAGCCCCTAACCTCAACAATCTTGTACCCAAAAAAAAGGTTAAGTAGATTCATCACCCTGCAAACTGCACTATCATGTGCGGTTTTCCCAAATTAAAGAGCCGAACCCGGCGAACAACTCAACTGCTACCACTACTACTACTAGTAGCCACACAAGAAAAATCCCGAGGTCTCTTTGGGAATGAGGTCCACCTGTCAGCCTCAACTCGCCGTTGGCACTTGCGCCCTTGCAAATGGGCCGGTCCAGCGGAAGGGGCCCATGTGGAGACATGTATCTGTCGCTCGCTTGGACCACATGAGATGGCGCGCCCGGATAGAGCTTGGTATCATAACCAGGAAAAAAGAGAATAAAAATGAAAGGAGAAGGTTTGAAAAGCTTTCCCTTCTATCTGCTGGAATTAGCATCACTGCAAGTTTAATCTCTACGTTAATACTAGTAGCACGAGGCACCAACCCTGAATCTTGTACTGGTAGTAATCTGCAGAAAGGAATCTTGTAACATGAACTCCAGTGTTTAGTCCCGGAAGACTGCATGGTTAGGTCGTGCTTGTGGTGTTGGATACTCTAGCTTATTATTTAAGCACCTACAAGTAACGCGGCTCTACAGTGGTAGTATTGCTAGTCTTTGTTTCTACAGTGTCTCGCATCCTTTGTGCTCGGCACTAACATAAACCTCCCTCTCTCTCTTGATTTTGAATGCAGAGGCGAAGAGGGCTGAAAGGGATGGAGAGCATGGACAGCGACTCGGAGTGAAGAGCGCAGAGGAAAGGAGACGAGACGGCCAAGGAAGAAGATGGGGATGTCATGTGTGGAGCGAGGCGTGTTAGGAGAAAACAAAACCGGTAGAGAGAGCTTAGCCCAAAGGAATGGACGCGACATTTGTAAATGGAGACGGAGGAGGCTTGGCCGGTGGCAAGAGCTCGCGTGCCTACGTGCTCGCCTTGCAGACGAATGATGATGATGATGATGATGATGATGCCTCCCTTGGCTGTTTTTTCCTTTTGCGGGGCCTTTGGTTCGAAAATCTCGTTTTGGGGGGCGTCACTGAGCTCCTTTTTTTTTTTGAGGGAAAGGGGGGCGTCACTGAGCTCGAGTGTTTGCGTTTCCTCGGCGGTTGCTCTTGTAATTAGTTCCTGCGATGGAGTGGGCCTTGCTTCTAACGACATGGGCCTAGCCCTGATGCACGGCACGCCAAATGCTAATGGAAGAAGCGACGCAACTGGGCCCTGCCATGAGAAAACAATAAAAGGAAAAACAAGAGGCATCACCAAGACACTGGCTGGGCAACTGGTCCCCCGTTTTGTATTGCATTTCGTCTCCTTGTGTCTTGGCGAACGTCATTGCTGTACCGCCGTAGTGGTGTACGCAGGTGGGGGCACTGGTCATAATGCATACGCTACCCGTGGCAGCTGGCACTGGCCTGTGGGCGATTTTCGTTTTTTTTTGCGCAAAGCAGGTTGGGGGTTTGCCGTGAAACGAGGAGCAACTGCTGCTCCCCTCAGCTCATCAACAGCTTTCTACCGGCTACCCCAACCCCGGGCGCTCTTCGACTGTGCATCGTCACTCCGCCTTCACTCGTGGCTGTGGGCATGCACGACGCTCAAATAAACAAGTGTCAAGACGCACTTGCACGCCAAATACTAGTATCATATATACTGTAGGTAAGTGTCGCTCTGTCGGTGCATCTGAACTTGCTACTACTAACTGACAAGATACCGCAGCTGCAAGTCTGTACAGAAATGCAGGGTGACCGATCCGGAGCCATTTGGCTCATGGGAAACTCAGCATTATTTCTTGCTGGAGATCGGTTCCTGTGTGGGAAAATTTCTCTCCAGTTCAACCAGGACCGGCAAAGTGTAAACGGGTCGCTTGTGCTAGTACGCCGCCGCACGTGTAGGCGGCGGCCGGGAATTGTTTTGGCCACGCTATTCAGAGAGGCCGGCGATGGCCTTTGGCCACGTGCCTAATATCCGCCCAAATCCTATATACTTAAAGAGATTCAATCTTATTATCTAATTTATCTTCGAGGTCCATGCACCACGTCATCCCCTTTTTTCATGCTAAGAAAATCGTATCATCCCTTTTCCTGCCACCTCCGGCACGCATGGGTTGTCGGAAGCCTTGCCAATTAACTGCCCATCCATTAATTTCTATCTCTAGTTCCTATTCATCTTCTCCACTGAATAATGCCATCCCTCTTTTCTCAACCAACTGTATGATTTCTCTATGCATTAGTTCATGTTCGTCTTCTGTAACCGAAAACCCATCTATCGATCATATAAATAGATACCAATTGGTTCCTGCTGGAAGCGCCAAGCGCCGCCGCCGCCTGCCTCACGCCTCCGTGTCGTTGCTACATCATGATACCCCGATCCATCTCATGCCCTCTATTCAGCCCCTTCTCTGCTTCAATTTGCAAAAAATCTCTTAGTACCTTGAAACTAACCACACCCCTTCCTCACCTCATCAAACAGCCCGATGAATATATTTTGAGTGAAACGTAATATATATATATATATATATATATATATATATAGGGTCGCGCTATTTGTCATCCTGGCTGAAGAATTCTTATTCCTCACCCTAGCCAAACTGTACGTACCACACATGCACTGGAATTTATGTTGGGTACCTGAGGTAAAGTTACGGCATGGAGTGAGGACCACCTGAGGTAAAGTTATGGCGTGGAGTTGAGGACCTTTTGCCACGCGCAAATATAACACCGCAGGAAGCACAAGTCGCCATGTAAATTTATGACACACTATCAGCATAGTTACGGCCGAGAGACTAACCTGTAAATTATAACCATGCAACTGGTACTCCCTCCGTTCGGAATTACTTGTCGCATAAATAAATGTATGTAGACGTATTTTAGTTCTATATACATTCATTTCCGAGAAGTAATTCCGAATAGAGGGAGTACTATTTATCTGGACAAGCTCTGCCACAGTTGTGTAATATGCTGAGTTTAATTAGTTTGACCAAGGCATTTTTACGTGAATATTTCCTTTGCACAACATCTGTACTTTCTGACCGTCACATCAAATTCAGCCATGCTGAAAACCTGAGCATTTCCAGCCTGCAAATACTTTTGAATCAGCCAGTTGCCAAGTTGCCAGTTAGAGATTTTTGAGAGAAAATTATCAGAAGTTGCGAGCTAGATATTTTTGAGAGAATTATCACAAAAGCACGTACATTTCTAGCCTGAACGCCACCTGAAAGACGCAGTGTGCAAAACAAAAATATGAAGCTATCTTACATGCTATGAACAATATGTTTCCTATTTATAGTTTACATCAGGCCCTTCCACCTTCCAGAGACCAGTGGTACATCAGAGATTCTTGCTCTCAATCCAACATAACCAACCAGAAAATGATGTTTGAGCTGTAGTACATTTGCCATTTAAAGGGCTCTCTTAAAGAATATTGAGCATCATACTGTTTTCCATGCAGATCCTCATCATGAAACGCTAGCCGTCCAACTTTGTCTGTGCCGTAGTGTTGCATCCTAAATTTTCCAATCAAGCTGATCACGGGAGCAACAACAGTATCTGCCAGATGCAAAGAAAATCAAAGATGAAGTGACTTTACATCATTGATTTTTTAATGCAGAACACAGGGTATAAGGGTGATGCATGGTGCACATGCAATCATAATTAATATATAAAACAAATGTAAATTACAGTGACATCCTTTCAATGTTGTGGTGATACCATGCTTCTACCGTTCTAGGTATTAACCTACTTGAAGAATTTACAGTATCCAAGAATATGAATAAGACATATTCCGACGAAAAAGGGTTTCCCCCGCTTTGTATCGGTTGGTTGCTTTGTAATAAGACATATTGAAAACAGAAAATTTCGAACTTAGATTCCATCTAACGAAGAAAGAACCGTGGAAACAAAAACTAGTTTATTGGGAACGTTGGATTTACTCAGGAAACTATGGTGCTGAACATTACTTCACAAGAGACTATGCATAATACTGATATTTGAATGGATAGCTCTGGAAAATAGAAAGATATGTGAAAGAGAAAAATACACATGAGCTCCTGGGTGCTCCACACCCCTATACGAGAAATAATCGTAAAAAATACCCAAAAAAATGAAGTTTGGGGATATCAAAACTGGGTTGCCAATCTACTCATGTGTGAAATTTCGTGAAAAATTTCCCAAAAACATATGCGTGGCGCAGGAAATACTGTCCGAACAAAAATCTACCCAAACAGTTTTTTTTATACATAGAAATTTTTTGTCTTTTTTGCCACGAATACGTTTCCTGGTATTTTTTTCACGAAATTTCACACAGGAGTAGCTCGGGAACCCACGTTTGATATCCCCAAATACCAGATTTTTTTCTTTCAAATTTCTCGGTATTTTCTTGAATGAATTGTTCGTATAGGGGTGCGGAGCACCCGAGTGCTCCAAATCCTCGTCCATGTGAAAGAAGACTAAAATCAATGTTGTTTGGTCTATATAAGTATCTGAAGGAAAAAAATGGTGATATGGATATTCCGTAAAATCAATGGCTGAGCAATAAACAAAAATTATATTCACTTCAATAAAATGTACCTAAACATACGCTAAATCTATAAGCTCTAGTAGAAAGTAGGAAGTTGATAATTAATATTCTTGTTTTAGTAACACATAGTTGATGTCTGTGTACTATTTTGGTAGCAACAAATATTTCGCGTGATAAAATAAGAAAAATCATTCTACGATGAATCAGAATTCATGCTTTGGTTTCATGCAGAAAGTAAGCCATTGCTTTCCATTATTTTACATGGAAAGCTGCATAGCTAGTCATAGGTTTTGCTAAGAAAAATATCATAGAGGTTAGTCGGCATCAATAAGAAAATATAGCTAAGGCACATTATAATCCATTCAGATTCTGCAGCTACAGAGCCGAGATACTTCTCATCTCTTCAAGTTAATATAAGTCCCAAAATCAGTACATTAACCCAATTATCTTATAGCCAACTGTTCTCTTCAAGCTAATGAATATGCTCCAATGCCTGTCATCTCAGTACTAGCTATAATGTTTGTACATTTTCTTTTGGCTAAAATGTTGTCTGCAAGCTAATATAAATCCCAAAATCAGTACATACCCATTTACCGTGTAGTCAACATTTTATTGCTTAATTCTATCAGTACGACTGAGAGGACCAGAAACCACAAAGATCTAATAATGAATACAGTAATTATCTCTTGTTGCTTAATCTAACAATTAACATTTGATGGATCACAATAGCTAGAAAGAAATACACCATATGGCCTGACGAGTCATTACTCGTTAGATGCAATAAGATTGACACCTCTGTTTATGGAAGATGGAAGAAGATTACTAACCTGCAAGCAGCTGTAGGTCAGAGCTGGAGGAGAGCACAAAGTGGTCGCGGCCGAACCAGTGCCGCCGCGAATATCACCTAAACTGTCGCTGTTGACCAGCCGACCAACCAGGAGGGAAGATTCTACTACCCGCACGTCTACTACGAACCAGACTGGGAACTGAAACAACTGAAAATTATTGAAGCAAGCAAAGATGGCTACATATACCCACATAACCAACGTGAGTAGATGAACGATTAGTGTTAGAGCTCCCGCACGCTGGTTGTGGTGGCCTCCAGCTTGCTGGTCAAGTCCTTAGCCACTAGGGCCCCTTCAACTCCACCACCGGGAGAACCCACATCCACCGGCTGGTAGTCAAATCAGGACCTCGAGGGGCGCCGGAGCAAGCAGATCAGGAGCACCCAGG